GGCTCGCTTCCTAAAAAGATTTTCTGAGATGAACAAAATTCACAATCTCCCCATGAGAAAGAAATCCATATTAAACTCATTAGTGTGGCTTAAGTCCCAAACAGTAGCGAGAACTGAGCCCCAATTTAAGTACCTACTTTGTGTGACAGTAAATGTCTGGTTTCATACGTTGCTTTCAATTGGATTACAAGGAAGTGATATCTTTTACCAAATATGTGAGAGGTTTGGGAACCCACTTGCATGGGAGAAAATTCCGCACTGTCTAATGTCATGCTAATATTGAATACTTAGATTTTTTTCTTTGTATGGTAATTCTATGATTTACTTCCTGATTGGACAGCTTGCTAATTGAAGATGTGATATCAACTGCTCACCTAAAATATCAAATGCAGCCTTAGCTGTATCGGATATTTTGCACCTGGTATCCTGGTATGCACTGCAAGATAGAGGTGAAATGCAGACTTGTGCTCTGAGTGGCACTTTTTGTGATCTTTTTCCTTTCTTTGTGGAGTTAGTGTTCATGTCTGCAGATTATTTCTTGTAATGACAACTGCAAGAATATCATCTTCAATTTGCCCTAACCCAGTGTGTCCTTACTGTATAGATTGAACAGCTGCATAATCATATACGGAAATGCACTGCTACCTTTTTATGACCATAGCTACAGGTTTTCAAGCAACATTTCAGTTACTAATTCATCGTGCCTCAATAGAAGTACACAAATGAAAAAATACCTAATCATCCTGAACAATCCTCTAAGCTCAGCACTGAAAAAGTCAACCAAATTCACCATGCTGAATATTTTTTGGTAATTCTTGAATATCGGGCCTCATCAGCCTGAGGCTGAAGAGTACAATTTTTATAGCCTCCATGCCTTCAGCAATCCAGCAAGAGCAAAAGAACCTCTACCAGATATATTAAGCAAGATGGAGTCTGGACTGGTTCCTTCTTTGACATCAAATCACCAAGATGGTCTACATGCTTAATATTGAATACAGGGTGGAGGTTTGTCGTCTTTTTGCCACGCTGCCAGAGGGACCAAAGGGCCAGATCCACAGTAAAGCAGCATTCGGATCTGCTCGTCCAGAAGACGGATGAGGTGGACGAGATGTTTTGACCATTAAGAATCCCTACTTTGGGATATTAGAAGGCAATTCTATGGTCCTTTACTTTTGTTATCAAAGGGTATTTTTGTGTCTGTTAGTTATAGGAAAGTTACCTATGCATCAAAGGAGTTACAAAACCTATGCAGCATGTAAAATAAAGACTGCTAGTCCTGACAAGTTTTCTGAATGAGCAAGACATGGAGTTCCGAATGCAGAATAATAACCATGGTGTTTTTTTTTATCACACATTAAACAGACTGCCTCCAACAACAAATCCCATATCTCTAATTACAGTATATGTTGCCAAGACTGTCGCACCCTCCGGAGACGAAGTCCAAAGAGCAAGGTATGTGAACCCCGAATCCAAACCTAACCTTCCCTACATTATATTTATTTCCTGGACAGGGGGGGGAGCCCCTGTACCCCCAAATATTAGCACTTTGTGCCAACTTGAAGAAAATATGACATTAATAACTCTGGCTGTGAGAGAGTGTTGCAGACTTAATCATTGAATGGTGATATGCTGTAAATATTTTTGTCATTTTATGGTAAATATGAGGCTGGAGCAGATGAACTATTGTTTATTACTCTGTTTTTTATGCTCTATGAGATGGCAGTGTTCATTTCCCTTTATCTTTGTGTTGCTCTCAGTAACATTAACCCCAATTAATTAGTAACAGTTTACTTTCAGAATTAGAGGCAGCTCCCTCCCTTTCCAGATAAGGGTTCTGTCAGAAACCATTAGTTCGTCATGCACACTTGCTCATCACTAACACAACCCACAGTACTTCAAGAGGTCGTTCAGATAACTTAATCCTTTTGAAATATATATTTGATACACAACACCTGGGTCTTGTCTGTTTTCGCAGTCGGCTCCTTCTCTAAATAAGGAAGCAAACCGAGGAAAAGAAAGCGACTTGGGGACAACGAGGCCTCCGTCGGGCGATGCCCTGCGACGAGCCGCCCCAGCACTACCTTTGGGTCCCCGTGACAGCCGCAGGCCTTCCAGCACTCACGAATGGAAGCACAGACCCGAGGACGGGACTGCCGTTGGGAGAAAGCTAGAGGGTGTGGCAAGGCACTGCGCCACTCAGCCCCTACTTCAGCTCGGCACCACCAGTCGAGCCTCCACTCGCAAGGGCCCACCTCGGCCTCTTTTCCTCCCACGGAGCCTCACTCCTCCCTCATTCTTTACCAGAACCAAATCCCACAGCCGCTCAGAGCCTCCGACTCACCTGTGCTGAGGTGTGCGGCTGCGGCTAGGCGAGAGTGACAGCAGAAGCGGGAGCAGGGCCGTCCTGGTATGGCAGCGACGAGAGCGGATGTTGACTAAGCGAGGAGGCGCTGCCGTCGGCCGGCCAGGGACCGCTCGCCCGCACGCCTCGTCGCTCGCCACCTGAGCGCCTTTCGCGGGGTGCTCGCCCTCCTCAGCGTGCTGGGGACGTGCAGGATTAATTATTTGCAGCAGATCCAGTGTCTGAGTTTACGGCAATTTATTTTTGGTGGTCCAGTCCCCCGGGCAACGCATTTGATGGAGGGGGGCGACCGAGGGCCCGCGAGCGAATCGTAAAGGGAACGGACGATGTTCACTGGAAATTCTAGCTCAACAAACTACAACTCTCCCTCATATCACAGATATCAGCATTTTCTATAAGAACCTGATAATTCCGACGAATCGTCTTCTTTCTCATAGTAAATGCACTTGGCAATGAAGGGAAACATAAGATGGAATTGTAAATATATCGCAGTGAATGTAGAGTAACCCTAAATACACGGCAGAAGGCATTTAGAAACTTTCACGCTGAGTTGTGTCAGAGGTTAGACTTCCATGACCAGAGGGTCATATTATGACCTCGATACGGTAACTCCTTCTCGCGTAAACATATCAGTCATTAGCTGCATTATTTCCAAGCGGCACCCCCTCCCGAGGCGACGCTAAAGGACGTCTTCACTGCAAAGTGCCAAATTTGTGCCGAGTAATGCCGCGTGTAAGCAACTCAAGCGTGAGACCATGGTCGTACTCGAGAAATAGTGATGGTATTGTTTAGGTTGCATGTGCACGCCTTAAAAGGGAAAGAGGCAGGCAAGGGAACGCCATGAAGCTTTAGGCATTTGCCAGGCGACGAGCCAGTCTTCAATAATTAGATACATGATTAATACAGTTGTCTAGGTGGATAGGCCCGTACTACATAAAACGTACACGTGCACACAAAGGGTATATATATAGTTTTTAGCATCGGTCATTTTATAGTTGCATTACTTAAACCGACACCGCTCCTTCTTTCTCTCTCGGATATCTATCTATCTATCTATCTATATATATATATATATATATATATATATATATATATATATATATATATGTTAACATACATACATATATAATATATATGTGTGTGTGTATATATATGTATACATAGATACACACGCACTCACGCGCGGGCGCGCGCGCACACACACACACACACACACACACACACACACACACACACACACACACACACACACACACACACACACACACACACACACACACACACACATTCAGAGACGCAAACGTAAGACGTCTGCAATTCAGCAGGTGAGTAAGCCTCAAGGAATGTGGCCCCGTAGGTAGGCTGAATCTCAGGAAAGAATTTAGTACGCCATCCGTGAGGTGCCACATGCCTCGCCCGTGGCACTGTTACGAACAAAGAAAGTCAGAAATGAAGGAAGACTAGGACATGTGTCTAGGGCATTTACGCTTGATGAGAGAATTGCGTGGGATTCTGTGAATCTGCTTTTTGAGTTAGAAAGGAAATGGTCGAATCCGCGACCACGAATCAGGTCGACAGGACGCGAGTCGGGAGTCGTCGCTCAAAGGCCGTTTCGACAGCCACCTCCGCCCAGCGATGGCAGGAAGCGTTTCGAAAGATCCTTCACCTCGTGGTGGAAATTAACCTTACTTCACGACTTTCGCTCCTTGAGGCGTGCCTCGGGCGACCTCCTCCTCCGCCAGGCAGCACAGGTGAACGCGGTGAGCACAACAGGTGGGAGCGCGAGCGGCAAAAGACGGATTTAGACCTGCGCTGACCCGGAGACGGGTTTCTCAGGTTCCCATGTTCTTGCTGAATATGCTGTGTCGGTAACGGCCGACTGTAATAACTGAAATGCTCGAAATGAGAATGATTAATAATAACACAAATAAGAGCTACTGTACAATAATAAACACAGTTACGACAGCAATAAGATCTGCCGTTATGTGAATGCTAAAAGAATAATATACGTGTGAGAATATTGGGATGATGGTGAGGCTAAAGGCGTTGTCAGCAAGTAAATCATAATATCGAATGGCCTCAATTGCTAAGAAAGTATTTCATACATTATCTTATCATGACGAAAATTAATATCTTGTTTCATACTTCATTCTGAAGTATCTTTGTTTTCCATTTACTGATTGCCACCAGACGGCAACACAGTAAGGCAAATTTACGTAAGAAAACCCGCAGACGGTAGCGAACAACTGGGATGAAATTCAGAGAAAGTTATGCTAATTTATTAATTGATTTCTGATGTCGTTTTCATGCAAATATCTCCTTGGTGGGATAGGTGCATTGGCTACTCTTTCGCCTAACAGGAACGATTGTTCCTGCATTGGCAAAAATAATGTGAAGTTTTTTAGTTTTCGAAGTTGCGCAAAATAAGGGAATCCAGTTTTGAAAGAAATACGGCCGAAAAGAAAAACGGAAATAGTTTTGATATAAACGCAAATTTTCGATAAGCTAATAAACTTGACCCTTCATATGAATATTGCCATTGCTCATGCAGTATCAAATTCGACGACCGCTAGGATTGCGAACGCCATCCCGGCCGTTGCTTTGGCGGCGTCAGCAAGCAGTGCAAACAAATAGCTCT